GGTCCCCCGAACCTCCGTTTTGCATCCGTTTTGGTTCATTTTTGGTGGAGACCTTTTGTCCATTTATTGCTTTCCTTAAGCATCATGCATTGTAATGCATTGTACCTATCAAGTTTCTTTCTCATTCATGCACGATATTGTATGTACGGTTCATTCAAAGAAGTTCCGTTTGAGATCATTTATTAGTGTATCAATCACACTTCATTCACTTAGTGTATCTATCACACACATCCTCATTTTGTGTATCTATCATACACATATTCACTTCATTTACTTTAGTGTATCCATCACGCTTCATTACCTTTAGTGTATCCATCACACTTCATCAATCACACTCTGTTCACATAGTGCATCTATCACACTTCGTGTTCACATTTAGTGTATCAATCACACTCTGTTCACATAGTGCATCTATCACACTTTGTGTTCGCTTTTAGTGTATCAATCACACTCTGTTCACTTAGTGTATCTATCACACTTTGTGTTCACTTTTAGTGTATCAATCACACTCTGTTCACTTAGTGCATCTATCACACTTTGTGTTCGCTTTTAGTGTATCCATCACACATGTTCACATAGTGTATCTATCACACTTTGTGTTCGCTTTTAGTGTATCTATCATACTCTGTTCACTAAGTGCATCTATCACACTTCGTGTTCATTTAGTGTATCCATCACACTCGTTCACTAAGTGCATCTATCACACTTCGTGTTCACACTACAAGAAATTGCATTTTTCGCAACGCAACAAAATATGTTGCTAAAAGGGAAAATTCGTCGGCAAAACTCTGCCGACACACAAGGCTACGTTGGCAACCCGTAGGCAAAAGTGAGTCGGCAAAAGTTTTTGCCGACGAAATTATCATTGCGTTGGTAAAAGTAATGCTTTTAGCAACGAACATAGTCGTCGATAAAAGTCTTCATCCATCGTCGGCTATTTACCTTGCGTCGGTAAAAGTCATTCAAATATGATGATTGTGTGGCACTTTTCGCGACACAAATTTACATAGGCAAAAAATATACTTTTAGCAACAAAATATGCGTCGGCAAAAGTAAACTTTTGGCGACGCATTTACGTCGGTAAATGTTGTCATTTGCCTACGATTTGTTTGTCGATAAAGCTTCACTTTTGGCAACGACAAATAAGCATTGGCAAAAAATACACTTTTAACAACACAATATGAGTGGGCAAAAGTAAACTTTTGGCAACACATTTACGTCGGTAAATATTGCCAATTGCCGACAATTTGTTTGTTGATAAAGGTTTACTTTTGGCAATGACAAATTAGCATTGGCAAAAAATACACTTCTAGCAACACAATATGAGTGGGTAAAAATAAACTTTTGGCAACATATTTACCAACAAAAATAATTAAAAATAATTTATATATTTTTATAAGATTTACAAATTTACAAGAGGCATCCCTCAGGCACTACTATTATAAACTAATAACATTATATTATGAAATCACCTAAAGTTGATGTGCAAGCAAAAAAACACTACCGATACTGCTTTTAGAAGCAGTGTATAAAACCTAAAAGGGTAAACTCACTAAAATACCCAAATACATCCAAATTGCGAACCCACATTAGAAACAAAATATAACAAAATGAAAACATGAACCGAACAAAGACAGGCAAAACGGCACGAAAATCACCCACAAACTTATCCAGCAGACCAACATCTAATAACAGCCGCCTCACAGCAACATTGCAGCAGCCGCCTCACAGCAACATTGCAGCAGCAGCAGCAGCCGCCCAACAAGCATCAGCCAGAAAATGATGACAACAATGAAGTTATTTTCCCTATAAAAAAATAAAAATCAAAATCAAAAGCACAGCCAGAAAAGGTCCATTACCCAGTGTTCTCATTTCCAGAAGAACACATCGAGAATGAAATCTCAACTAACCTTCATTGTTGCTTGCAAAGCTGCACGTATTGCATCTCTTTCAGCTTGCCTAACAATAACTGAAGTTCTTGTAGATTTTCTAACTATTCTCTCCACTTCTACGTCATCGGGTGCATCATGATGTTCAGGTAGCGTAGATTGCTCAGCAGTTTCATCATCCTGGGGAGCCTTTCCAAGATTTGAAAGAACCTTCTTTTTCGTCTTCTTCTTTGGCAATTGCTTTCCAGGAAATATTAGTATCTTCTTTGTCCGCATTCTGTAACAGAAGTCAACATCTTAAAAGTTACCATACTAATTTAAAAACTCTAAACTTCCATGATCTTGGGGAAGTCAAACCTGTCATCTGCTTCATTTTCTACTTCTTCATCTGGTTCAGGTTCCTGATTAGGGTATAGCATGTAATTGGACAATAAGTTCATTCAAGTGGTCATGGATATTGAAGTTATTACTGCAGTAGTATGAAAGAGGTAGTGACATATTTTAAGTCTAAGAAATGCAGATAATAACAAGACCGTAAATACATACATCATCATCAAAGTCACCATCAAAAACATCCACAACCTCCCCTTCTTCGTAATTTTCATCATTTTCTTCCTGAGAAAGTAACATAGGAATGAATTGAATCCAGAAACACACAAGAGAACAACATACCATATAAATGCTACTGCTAGTCCTTCGGACCAGGTGGTAACTTAGGTGCTACAATAGAGTAGATGACAAGGTTCAAATCCCATTATCCATAAAAAATAATACTAATGAAATAAAAAGTAAATATTTAATTTAGAATGGTACATACTTATCATAATTTCATCAATTTTGATAATTGAAATAAATAAAAAAACGATCATTCAATGCACAAGGCTCCGACTTAGGGTCTGGGAGAGGTAGTTAGTACGCAGCATTCCCCACTTTTTTTTTGTGGAGAGATTGATAATAGAAATAGATGCATGTGGTCAATAAATAAGAAAAACTTGTATGTCAATAACTTGCAATGGCAAGGAGTTTATTTGTTTTGAGCACAAAACAAACAATAGACCATAGTGAGTGACAATGAAAAAATAACTAGATCAAATTAACAAATAGGAACTATGTGACTCCAAAATGCCCCAAATTATGACTTACTGAACAATTTCTATGTTTTTTGACATAAAAAAGACCTGAAGTTGATTTTTCCTCTCCCAGGAAGACTTTAAAATGGAAAAGATTAATTTTTAAACCAAAAAGAGCATGACCAAATTGTAACATCAAAGACCACTTCTACCCAATTTTAGATAGAGTACTCTAATAGGGGACTTATCATGCTCTTCATTACTCCGTCTCTATTTCACTTTCTGGGAACATTATTGGTGTTTCACATTAAGGTGAAAAAATGAATAGATGCACAAATATTGATCAAGAAACTACATGTGGACGAGAAACATCAATGTTAAAAGTCTGAGCAGTGAATACCTCTTTGAGAGCCTCCTGATTCCAGAACGTTTTATCCTCTTTATTCTCGTCATCAAGCAATTTGTTCATTCTAACAGCATCAATATAGTGTCAAAACCTTTCAATATCTCAAATAGAATTTCCATTATCCTTCTAGACAGAAAATCATAACAGAGTACTACTCTCCCCTAATACAGTTGATGCATATTAGACACAATCCTATAACAGCAGATCCAGATTCAGGCATACTCTCTCCTCATACAGTGATCAATAGACAAAATGTGAGATGTTGAAGCTGACATTTTGCTCTTAGCAGTAGGAAACAACTAGGAATAGAATCAAAAGCCCCATTCCTTAATCAGTTCAGGTCCATAGTGCCTAGACAGATTGGTAGCCCAAGCAAATCCGCTCAACAAACATGACAACAGAAATCCCTTGCACCAAAACACCTCAACAGACCAGCAGAGAATAGATCTACTCCCTTGTTTCCATCAGCAGACCAGCAGCAATCCACAGTACTACTCTCCCCTCATACAGTTGATGCATATTAGACACAATCCTATAGCAGCAGATCTAGATTCAAGCATACTCTCTCCTCATACAGTGATCAGTAGACAAAATATTAGATGTTGAAGCTGACATTCTGCTCTTAGCAGCAGGAAACAACAAGGAATAGAATCAAAAGCCCCACTCCTCAAGCAGTTCAGGTCCATAGTGCCTAGACAGATTGGTAGCCCAAGCAAATCAGCCCAACAAACATGACAGCAGAAATCACTTAGCAGCAGAACCATCAGCAGAGCCACACTAAGTAGCCCCAGCATACCAGCAGTTAGCAACAGACCCCTGCAATACTTAGAAGCCCCAGCAACACTTTCCTTAATTCAGAATGCATACAGAGAACAAAACTCCCCTTACTACTTGAGCAACACCACAGCAGGACACTACAGCAAACAGCCTATCTATTTGTAACCTCCACTCTGCAAGCTGGAACAAACCCTTGGCAATCCTAAGCTGGAGCAAGACAACAATGAATATACCCACAGCAGAACAACCCTAACAAACAAACTAGAACAACCCCAGCAGCCAAAAACCCACTACTCAGCAGCAGTCACACAGGCCCATGACCACTGATGCAAAATCTAATTTGATTCATGTTAAAGATAAAATCATTAACTGAAAACTGGGCTAGATTATGTGATGACTTCGCCCATATAGCAACTCTAATCTTGATCAACTCAATGACTTCAACAAGGCTAGGATTTGAGTGCTTGAATTTACACTCGTTTCTGAGCTTCCAAATAGACCACAACACTGCTAGAGGAATACTTTTCCATAACGCTCTCTCTGATTTCCTAACTTTGGCTCCATCCCACCAGATAAGCACCTTTTCCACTGCATCCGGCAATGCCCCAACAAATCCCCATCACTTTAGCATAGCAGCCCAGATATGCCAGGAGAAATGACACAGCAGAAGGACATGGCGAGTAGATTCAGGCTCAGATTTGCAAAAGGTACATTTAATATCTGAGTTGCTACTCAAGACCCCAATTTTCTGTAGAAACTCAGGAGATTTTACTTTGTCCTTCCAAGCTAACCATCCAAAGAATTGAACTTTGTGTGGGATATACTTCACCCACACCAACCTGCAACCTCTAGCTGAGGAACCAAAGCTATCAGAGCAGAATTTATACACAGAGGATGTGGAATACACACCTGAGGATGCCGCCGCCCAACAAGGTACATCAGCACAGCCAGGTCTGAGGGAAGGGGCTGCTGCTAGAAGAATTCTCAATCTTGATGCATCCAACTCCTCTCACTCATACAAAGCCCTTCTAAACGGTATCACCCATTCTACTGAATTTCCTTTTAAATCAAAGTAATGCTTGACAGAACCTTCCTTAGATTGAGCAAAACTGAACAAACCAGAGAATTCTCTCTTGAGGCATAGCTTCCCACACCACTTATCATGCCAGAATTTGGTTCTAGATCCATCCCCAACTTGAATCTGAAAGTTCTGCTCGAAAAACTCACCACATCAACTTGAAGTACACTTCCACCTCCCTGGCCTCGTTCCCTATTTGAAACAAGAAATCCAAGACCTAGAGATATGGTCCCTTGAAGAGAATCATCTCTTGAGTTGTTGAAGCTTCTCGTAGACCCATCAAAATTCATAGGAACACAAAAAGACTCTAATATTCATTTTTGAAATTTAGTACATCTGAATATTATGATAAAAACACTAATGTTCATTTTTGTGTGATAAATAAGGTCTGGATTCTTTTGACGTAAATAACAGGACACATATTCATAGACAAAATAAAAAAAAAAAACAACGCAAAAGCAAAAGCAAACATTATATATATACAGATCCTCTTTGCTAAATCAATATTCTCACATTGTATTACAATTGATTATATCTTTATATATACATAGATATATAAAGCTTTACAAACTACTAAAAAAAAAAAAATCACACTCGCTATCCTAAAAATCCCAATTTACCTTTCAACTTTTCTCTCACTGATTCAAACAACTCTCACTCAATACACTTCATATTATGCAGAAAAGTGCACATACTAATAGATAAATATATATATATACACTCAATTTTTGATGAAAAAGAAATTGGATTTCTTGAGGGGTGAATTGTTGGTTGACTAAAATAGAAACCAAATATACCCTAGAATTTAGAAATTCAAGAAAAGATCGTGAATTACAACATAAAAATGCTCATATAAATTTTCTATGGAAAGAGGCAAAAATGATTCTAATAAATTGAGTAATGTTAGTGATTCAAAAACAATATTAAAAATTTATGTCAATATCGTATAAATGTTTTAGTAATATATATATATAGAATTTCTAATATTTTTGCAGTAAATTAGACAGTGAAAAGTGGTCATTGTTGATGCCTTCATTTCAAGAACCACAATGTATTGCCACAACAATAGCCATCATTACCACCACCATTTAGGCACTACCCTAACCCAACACCACAAATGAACTTCAGTATTACAATATCACTTCTTCAAAGTAAACCACCTCACCCTACCTTCGGCAACTCATAATCATTTACAAACACTAGGATAACCACAACAGTCAACGAGATATGAAACCTTCAACCCCTCTCACAATTACTGCCACTGCAATTCTACCTGGCATAAAGATACCATTTTGGAACCAAGTTTTATACTTTTACGGGAATTGTAACTACGTTTTATACGATATGATAGGTTCCAATGAAATCCAAAAATTATATGGGATAATGAGCATCAAGAACAAAGAGTTTAACTCCATTTGCATGCTAAAGACGACCAAGAGCAACTACCATTCCCAAAGTACAGATGGCACATTGAATTCCATGACAGTAAGTAAGAGAGAACACACATAATCAACCAGCATAACATCAACCTAATGGGAAAGCTCAAAAATCCACAATCAGAGTGCTGTGTAATATTTTTCAGATATGTTTAATATTTCTCAATTAACACAGATCACAAAACAGAACAAAATTCAGTGTTGCCATTTAGAATTGAATTCAAATTCATTCAAGTTCGCAGCAACAAGAAAAAAATTAACGACAATACATTTGTAATGAAACGAAAATGTAATATAAGAATATAGCTTTCGCCTTAATTCAACCAAAATAATTGCATTATCATGACAGGACGAAGACTGAAAAAAATTTCAAATTTTGGTTTTTTGTTTCTGTTACTATTTTCATCGAAAACAAACAGTGGCGCAAATGAATTAAATCAATCACGAGTTTTCACAATGAAAATATAGTTCCAAAATACTTTTGTTTAAATTGCTAACAATTTAATGCATTTTTACAAACATCATCAAAATTCAAAAAACATAATTAGATCTATAAATCTAATGCTAAAACAATATGACATTTTTTACACCCTAGAAGCAAAAGTATGGCTCCAAAATACTACACTAATCAATGTAAAAAGCCCAATGCCTGAGAATATTCATCGATTATTTCATTACTTGTCAACTGAAATATATAAAAAAAACAAAATAAAATAAAATAAAATAAAATTTTAGCAGGCCTCATTTCAAATGTAAAAATACCAAATCTGTAAGAGGCAAGAAAGATTGGAATCAGAATTTTGAGAGAACCCTACATAGAGAAAAGAGGGGAAAAATCAGAGAGAAGAGGATTTTACAAGAGGGACGATTTCAGAGAGAGAAAATAGGGTTTGTTTCAAAAATAATCAATTGAGAGAGGAATACCTTCAGATTTTTTGATTGTTCATCAAATTCTTTTCTCTTTCTTTGTTGGATTGGGGTTTTAGGTAGAGTGAAATTACCCACAGCCACTCCAATCACACCGCCAACTACACCGAATGCGAGAGTGAGAGCGAGAGCGAGAGCGAGAGCGAGAGAGAGCCGAAACAAGGGTTTTAGGAACAAGGAAGAGAAGAGAGATGAGATGAGTGCCTTACCGTCAAATTAGTCTTGCCGCCGAAAAGATGAGTGTACCATTTGCCTCTCACAGCAAGATCCTCTCTCTGTTTTGTGTAGGTCGACACAGCGTATGGCTTTGAAGAACCTCCAAAGGGCTTCGGGACTACCGTGTTTGCCTCTCAATCTCCACCGATTCAATTGATAGTAGAACTTTGAAGAACAAGAGTTTGAAAACCCTTTCCCCTTCCAACCAATTCACTGTCTTTCTTCTCCCTCTGTTTCTTCTATGTTACTTATGATTAGAACCCACTATCAGTGTCTCGTAGGTAGTCGATGTAGTTTCGTAAAAAATCAATTTTATTGTAGCGTATGACCTAAAAGATAAAATTATATAAAAATAATAAGTACATTTTTTATTTTTTCACTTAATTTTTTTTTTTTATAGTTTTTTAGGAAAAAAAAATTAAACTAGTATATGAAAATAAAACTAAACATAAAACCACAATGAAAAGAAATTGAAAATAAAACCAAACATATTGAAATTGATAATCTAACCACATTCTTTAAAAAACTTTAAATTAACTCAAATTAGCCATCTCAACTTAAGATTATGTTTGGCCTTAATGGGTTCATTTTGTGATCTAATTCAATGATCACTTTGATTTTACAATTCAATAACTAGAATATTTAAAACTCTTTCAAAAGTTAAAATAAAAACACAAATTAATAAATCACCTGTTTCACTAGTAAAACTTTTACCGACGAATAATATTATCGTCGCTAAATGTTTAACTCTTTGCCCACGCCAACTTGTCGTCACCAAAAGTAAGCACACTAATAGCAACGCTCATTGTGTTGGTAAAAAATAAGCCTCGTAGCTAAAACTGTCAAAATTTTGGCGCCAACAAATTATTTTGGCGCTTAAAGAATGTTATGCTTTTTTAGCGACGATAGTAAATTGCGTCGGTAAAGGTTTACTTTTACCAACGAAATCCATCACTGTGTCGCCAAAAATATACTTTTGGCTATGAAAAATGGACGTCGTGGCCAAAAGTTGTTGCCAAAAGTGCAATTTCTTGTAGTGTCACATTTAGTATATCAATCATACTCGTTCACTAAGTGCATCTATCACACTTCGTGTTCACATTTAGTATATCAATCATACTCTATTCACACAGTGCATCTATCACACTTTGTGTTCACATTTAGTAAATCAATCATATTCTGTTCACATAGTGCATCTATCACACTTTGTGTTCGCTTTTAGTGTATCCATCACACCTGTTCACATAGTGCATCTATCACACTTTGTGTTCACATTTAGTGTATCTATCATACTCTGTTCACATAGTGCATCTATCACACTTTGTGTTCACCTTCAGTGTATCAATCACATTCCGTTCACTTAGTACATCTATCACACTTTGTATTCACTTTTAGTGTCTATCACACTTTGCTTCATATAGTGTATCCATCACACTCTCTTCACTTTTGTGTATCTATCACACATGCTCGCTAAGATTGCATCATAACTGCATGAAATGTAGTTTGATTTGCCTTCCCGCTTAAAACTGTCGCATTTATTGTGAATATTTGCTTCGTTACAGCTTTATTTACATGATCCTTACTGCATGAAATGTAGTTAGATTTGTATATGCTTGGTGCATTTGCATGATCATGAGCTACATTCGGCTTTGTGCATATCATTTTGCATTTTGCCCCTGCCTGCGGGCATGCCTTTGGGCACATCTTTGTTATTTTATATGTTTGTCTAAGTCTTCGGCCTTGTCAAAAATGGGTCGTCTCTGGGCTTTGACATTCACTCCCGTCACTTATGACTTCCGAGTTCTGTCAAAGAGGGGCAACTGTAGACACCCCATTTTTGACCGACCTTAAGACTCAGACGTCACCGATTGAGCGCTTGGTGATGTTGCATATTGTGCTCGTTCTGAGGTTTCAGAGTCTCGGCTGCGACCCTTGCCTCCGAACTTCCGGACTCTTTCATGCTTTGCCTCGGTTTGTGAACCAGGCTCTGTTTTCTCTGTTTTCTCTTCCCGAAGGGAGGGATAGGTCTCGTAGATCATCTCTCAGTGGCCGTAGTCTACGTTTCGTGGTCATAGGCCATTTTGCCCGTTTGGAGTCCGGTTTCCGGTTTTTCGGAGCCGTTGGCCGTGTGCCTCGGTTCGGGACCGCTTAACCACCTCTGTTTGCTCCGGGTTTTGGCATGAATCTTATTTGCTCCCTTTTGAGGGACACTGTGGCTCGAGAGACCAACTTCGTGGTCGAACACCACTTCCGGTGCCTAACAGTCAGTTTTCGGGGCCTCGGGCTGCGCGTTTCGGCCCCCGAACCTTCATTTTGTATCGGTTTGGGTTCATTTTTGACAGGGACCTCTGTTTCATTCTTAAGAAGGTCGTAGAAGGGTGGGAGGCCAGTAATTGTTCTGATAACCAATTTTATTCCTCCATCGCCTTCCGTCGCCCGTTCTTTTCACTTGAAAGCCAATGTTGACCACCCTAAGGCCACTTTTTCCAGCCCTAAACCACATATTTGTGTTCTACACACCTGGGAGGCCACCAATATTATATGGCCAGCCAGTAATTGTGTGTGACCCTTTTGAACCCCTTCTAAAAGTGGACTTTTCTCTCTCCTGGTTTACTTTCTCCAGTTTTTGACCATATGGTTGTGTTGTGCACACATGGGAGGCCACCAATCTGGGGTGGCCGGCCACTAAAACTTCTTGAGCCTTTTGACCCTTGGCCGGCCGGCCATGGGGAGGGCCGGCCGGCCACCTGCAACTTAAATACCCGGCCGGCCATGATCCCCTCCTCTGGTACATTACAAATCCGTATTTTGTTTCCCCCCAGATTGTGTATCCGGGGGGGCCAACTTTTGGGAGGAAACTTGAATTCCATTCCCCCCCTTTTTTCCCTCCTCCAGAGACGGACACATATAGATGGACATGAGTGATGACCCATCACTACTGATTGCCCTATATATAATGTAAAGGACTCCCAGATTGGGGACACACTAATAGACCTTCTTGAGGCTCCTTTAGCTTTACCATTCTATGTCAATAACTCAAATTTTTTTTTAATGTTTTTTAATTTCCCAACAGTGGCTTCAAGACCCATCGTTCAACACCAAAATAGAGGTATTTTACATTGTCTCTTGAATTTCCCTTTCTCTGCTCTTGATCGCTGTTGTTGGTTAATTATGTTGTTTGGATTTGTTGTTTGAATTCTGAATCATGAAGGATTTGTTGTTTGGATTTGTTGCCTATTTTTGCTCAATATATTAGCTCCTCTTGCTTGCATATTTGGGCTCCGACCCTAACTAAAAATAGCATTATTTTGAGTTCCTTTTCATGTTTGTTTAAGGGCCTCTCCCTGTTTGAGGCTTCCTTTTTACACTTGCTTCTTTACCTCTCTTGTATGCCTCTTTCTTGCATAGTATTTTAGGCTCATTTGTACATTGTTTCGAGCTTGGTTATAAAATGAAAAGTGGCTTATTTTGAGCCATTATTCAACATTGTTGAAGGGCTCTTCACTGTTTGAAGATTCCTTTTGTCACTTGCCTCTTTATCCCTCTTTTGGCCTTATTTTTGCATGTTTTGTTAGCCCGCTGTGCTTGTATTTTTAGGTTCTGGTCCAAACTGTAAATAGCCTTATTTTGACTCCCTCTTCATGTTTGATCAAGGGATCTTTACTTTTTGGAGCTCCCTTTTTGCTCTTTGTGTTTAAACCTCTTTCTAGGCCTTATTTTGCATAGTATTTTAAGCTTGCATGTGCACTGTTTTGGGTTTGGTCACTAACTGTAAAACACCATGTTTTCGGCCCCTCTTCAACTTTGTTGAAGGGACCTCCTCTGTTTGATTCCAGCAACCATCACTTGCTTCTTTGTCTCCCTTTTGGCCTATTTCTTGCACAATAGTTTAGCCATACTTGTGTTTGTTTTCGTGGCTTGTTGTAAACTGTAAAGTACCATGTTTTGAGCCCCTATTCAACTCTGTTGAAGGGCTCTTGGCCATTTAGGGCCAGAAGCTGCTACTTGCTTCATTATCTCTCTTTTGGGGCCATTTTTGCATGTTAACTTAGCCCTATTTGTGTTCACTTTTTGGACTTTCTTAAAACTGTAAATATGCTTTTTTTGGGATTGTCTTGATTCTGTCTTCACACTTCATGTTCAAATAATGCATTCTTTGCATAGCCGTAGGTCATTCCATGTACCTAATTTCATGTTTCGGGTCTCATTCCATGTATCGGGTGCCATGTTTCCGTGATTCTGGGGCTGTTTTGCATCATATTTGGCTACTGAAATTTGCATGCTAGTATTCCATATTCCATACCTTGCCATGTCTTGTTAGAGTGGCATTTGGTGCCTTAGGGTCGGTCATCGGTTTGCGTGCATATGTGCACACATTTTGAGTGTCTCATTTTCATCTCATGGCTACAAATGTGAGTGTGGCTGAGGTCCACTCATGTTGGTGTAAGCCCATTGTGCATTGTGTATGCCATTTCATTTCAGTGCATTGTGTATGCCATTTCATTTCAGTGCATTGTGTATGCTAGGTTGTATGTTAGCGCATTGTGTATGCCATGTTACCTCGTGCATCGTGTATGCCATTTCATAACATTGTGCATGTTAGGTTGTACCTTAGTTGCATTCATGCATGTCATGCATATTGCATTGTGCTTGGGATAGGGGTTAGCCCGAACACGGGAAACAAGGGACGTTTCGTACTTCGAGTGACGGAACGTGTCTCAATTCCCAGTCACCGACACTCCGGATTATCCATGATGTAGTTTAGGTTTTGTTGTGTTTATATGTGCATTCATTTCATATTGAGTCGTGCAATTCGACTCCTCGGCCATCATGCATCAATATGCGTGATTGGTGGCACGAGGACCGAGGACTACATTCCCGAAGGGTAGTCATGCATACATATGTGAAAATACTTTGCCATGCCCCTTTCTTGCTCTCTGTTACAGCAAATCAAGAGTCAGCAGCCTTCCGGAGCTTGGCACGCATTCCAAGAAAAATGGCAAACAGAGGCTAATTGGGACATCGTAGTGGATTTCCGCACAAAGCAACCCGGACATGCATCATTCATCATCCAAAGCAGCGTCGAGGCAGTCCCTAGCTTGCATGCTAGTTTACAGCTTACCTAGTTTAATTTGTTAATTAATTAGGATTTTGTAATTATTTGGACTGTAATATTTATTCGGGACTGTATATTATTTATTCGGACCCTCGGCGCGAGGGCACAACTGTAATAAGTGTGCGTGTGTGTGATGTATGTCTTCCAACCCCACGTCTTTCTCCCTTTTATTTACTCGCTTATGATGGTTAGATTAGGGCATGTTTCAAGTAGCATACAGTATGATAGCATGTTTGCATTCATTCATCTATTTTGCATGTACCGGGCTCAGTGCATCATACTAACTGCATTGTATTTTCAATTCCAAGTTGAATACATGTTAGCTGTAGCATTTCATATGCCATGTTTAGAATAGCCGAGCCTGCTATAGTTGCATTTTTGCATGTGTTGCATTAGGCATTTCTGTATAATTAGGATCATGCATGGATTTCTAATTAGCTTATGTTTTGGGTTGGAGTACTCGGTAAGTTTTATGCTTTAGCATCCTCGCATGCGTGTGAGTGACTGCCATGATAGCATGCTTACCATGAGGCTAATTGCTTATGTGATATAACTGCCTGAATGCCTGTGGGTGAAGGTTGGGTTATTTGAATTGGAACAATTCATCAAATGTGTGTTTTAAGCCCACTAGATAGTGGCAAAATCATGTTTTTCTAAGCCCACCCGAGGGTGGCAAATCAACGTCTTAGCCTACTTGCGGGTAGCACCATCAAACCATTTTAAAAAATAAACATGAAATGCTTTGTTCCAGTTCAGACGATCCAGTCTATACTTGTATGATGTGCGCATCGCATAGTAAATCTAGGCTAATAACCGGAATAAGAACGCATAATGTTTTCAAAAATAGATATCATGGTTAGTAGAGGCCGATCTTTGATCGGGCGAGCGGGGGTGCTCACGAAGTGACCTTCCCCAATCGTACCCAAGTCCCCGAGCCGAGGCAACTTTGGTGATGACGGACACGTGGCCTTAGGCAAACGAGTCAAGGTTTCCTAAATTTCCCCAAAATAAAATATTTAGGTGGCGACTCTGTATCTGGCAAAGCAGTCCAGGTTTGGCACTTCTTTCAAAATCTGTTTTCTCAAAACGATTTGCCAGATTTGGACTCTTTGGTTCAGATTGCTTTGCATAGCCATAGGTCATTCCATGTACCTAATTTCATGTTTCGGGTCTCATTCCATGGTTTTAATATTTTTGATATCTTTTGGTGAGGAAATAATATTGTCACTAATTTTGGTGAAAAATTTTTGATATATTGAGCGACAATAAAAAAAATAGGGTATTAATTTTTTTACTCTTTTTCTGTTTATTATCTCTCTCTCTCTCTCTCTCTCTCTCTCTCTCTGTCAATAGGGTATTAATTTGTCTTACCTCTTGCTCCTCCACCACGCCGATTGCCATCGTCATCACCTCTATTAGCCTTGCCGAGCGCCGCTGCCACTAGTAGCCTTGCCGGTAACCGCCACATCTTCTTCGCTCGGTGATTTGGTACGTGATTTCTCTTTGCTTTTTTTTTGGGTGTCTCTTTCTCTTGTTCTCTGTTTTGGTATGGTGACGAAAATTAGTGAAAAAAACAAGTTTCGTTACTAAATAAGAATAATTCATGAGGAATTATAAATTTTGTCACGTATAATAAAAAATTAAAAATAATAGGTGACGAAATTTATCTCCGTCAATAAATACTTACTTTTAGGTGAGAAAAAAATTAAGTTTCGTCACCTAAATTTTTCCTACTAATTTTTTTTTATGGTGCCAAAATTTTGAGAAATATATATTCATCACTAATAATTTTTAATATTTTAAATTTTTTAATGAGGAAATTATTTTATCATTAATTTTGGAAGAAAAATTTTGATATATTAAGCGGTAATGAAAAATAGACTACAAAATTTTTTCCCTTTTTTTTTTTTTTGGTTTTTTGGTTGTGTTGATCAGTTTTCTCTCATCTCTCTCTCTCTCTCTGCGTCAAAACAATACGCAAGTTAGGTCTCTTCGTTTAGCGCCCCTTGTCCTCCTTTAGCGTGTTCTCCTCTAGCACCGCTGCCGATGTCGCCCGTTCTCCTCCTTCAGTGTCGTTGCCGACGTTGCATCTCCAAGTCCATCCGCCCTTCTCCTTCAGTGTCGCGTGTTCTATTCCATTAGCTCTTCTTATTATTCGATTTCTCTAATTTTCTATTTTCAGGTATGGGTCCTCTATCTCTCTCTCACTCAATTTCTCTATTTTTTTTTTATCTTTGTTTTCCCTAATTTGCAAAATTAATGTTTTCCCTAATTTTTGAAACTAATGAGACACACAATGTACACATGATTCAGAATTACCTATTAGAAAGTTCGTTAATTTGTCTCGTCTAGTTTCTCCTTTGGGAGATTATGTTGGTAAAATTTGTTGATGGTTTGTCATGATTCCTGTTATCCCTTTAAAGAATGAGCCAGATCACTTAGTGTTTTTCTTGTCTGGAACACGACTTAGAGCTAATCATTTAGTTAGTTTTGCAGATCTCTAAAACTGATACATAACGTTAAATAGGCTGGTGTATCAATTGTTTTTTTAGATAAGTGTTGTATTTTAGATTAAAATTCTTTCTTACTTAGATTTTTGTAGAAAGGTTGTCATCAAATATTGAGACTTTTGCAATCTTTTGACTAGTCAATATTGATGCTATCCTCTCTATTCAATAAATGAAGAGATAAGAAGAGGGAAAAAAAAAAAAAAAAACACTACTCTTAACTTTTATACTTTCAATTCCTGTTTCTAGAAAATAAACTATCTATTGGGGCTTAATATTTTCTTGTCCTTTATTATGTGCTTGCTTTTCCTTTGAAGTATAGAGGGTCTTTTCTTTCTTTCTTTTTTTTCTCTCTCTTATTGTATCTTTTCCCCAAAATTGGATCAGTCTATGCATATGAATATGTTGGAGACTGATCGTCAATTGTTTATTTATATGCTTATTTTACCTTAAAATGTTTGTGTGCTTCCTTAATGGAGCAATGGGTTTTGTGGCAACTAGGGGATTGTATTGAGTATCATTTTTTCCACATTGGGGTCACAAAAAGAAGGAAATGCCATGTGGATTTGGAGAAGGTGAGATAGGTAACATCCTTGGTATTCCATGAAGTAACAGGGTAAGTTAACTTCCTTCTCATTTGTATTCTGCATTTTTTGGTTTATTGAACATTTGCAGTAATATTTTTAACATGGGCCATATTGTTTAGCTGTTCTACTGGATGACAAACACATGCTACAGTTTTGTAACGTTTGAATAATTCATGGGCTGCCAAATGAAATTCTATTCCGAACATACAGACCGTCAAATGAAATTTTTATACTTGGACAGCGAATTTGGTTGTTGCACATCTAATTTGAGTATGCGTATGGCTCTAATTCCTTTTACTTTTATTTTTATTTTTATTTTTATGTGGGTATAGGTGAAGGTATGGGCGAATTATCATTGGCCAATAGGGCCACTATTGTAAATATGTCCCCTGAATATGGAGCAACCATGGGTTTCTTCCCTGTAGATCATGTCACATTACAGTACCTTAAATTAACTAGAAGGAGTGATGAGACTGTGCGTTTGTCTTTTCTTTTTCTTTTTGTTTCGTTATTTTTTGTTTTGAGCTATATTTGGTTGATGGATTTCTCATATAAATTTCTAACTGCTATTGCTAAAATAATTCATAGGTGGCTATGATTGAAGCTTATTTGTGTGCAAACAAAATGTTTGTTGAATACAATGAGGTAGAAAACACAATTTCTTCCCTTCTTTGTTATTTTCCTACATGTATGCATTTCTTCTTGGCATTCTTACATCTGAGGCTAATGGGATTATTTCAAAGCCTCTACAAAAAAGAGTATTCTCATCATATTTAGAGTTGGACCTAGCAGATGTAGAACCCTGTGTTTCAGGACCAAAAAGGTAATGTTTTATTCTCAGTTCTGGCACCAAATGTTTTGCACTTCCACGTTATTGTTGTGTGCTTATATGTATAGTTCCTTTTTTTATTTTATTTTTTAAACAGGCCTCATGATCGAGTGCCTCTAAAAAACATGAAGGCTGACTGGCATTTATGTCTTGATAGTAAAGTTGGATTCAAAGTAAGATGAAAACAGCTATTGCTTGGATTTGCTATAATTTGGTTTTCCAGATTGTGGTTCTGCCATCATTTCATTAATTGATACAAACTTAGCACAGTTCATCCTCTTTTGGTCTATATAGTCTGATTCTATGAGTTGATTGTGTAGTGTGTAAATGGGATGGAAAAGAGTATTGGGATTATTTCAAAGCCTCTACAAAAAAGAGTATTCTGATCATATTTAGAGTTGGACCTAGCAGATGTAGAACCCTGTGTTTCAGGACCAAAAAGGTAATGTTTTATTCCCAGTTCTGGCACCAAATGTTTTGCACTTCCATGTTATTGTTGTGTGCTTATATGTATAGTTCCTTTTTTTATTTTATTTTTTAAACAGGCCTCATGATCGAGTTCCTCTAAAAAACATGAAGGCTGACTGGCATTTATGTCTCGATAGTAAAGTTGGATTCAAAGTAAGATGAAAACAGCTATTGCTTGGATTTGCTATAATTTGGTTTTCCAGATTGTGGTTCTGCCATCATTTCATTATTGATACAAACTTAGCACATTTCATCCTCTTTTGGTCTATGTAGTATGATTCTATGAGTTGATTGTGTAGTGTGTAAATGGGATGGGACTATCAATCACATTTGTGGTCGAGTCACAATGTGAGGACCTCCAGCTTTTTTTTCTAATTCTGTAATATTTTATATTCATTCAGGGCTTTGGCATACCCAAGGAGGAGCAGGACAAAGTTGCAAAATTTTTATTCCATGGACAGCCTGCTGAGCTCAAGCATGGTAGCGTGGTCATAGCTGCCATCACAAGTTGCACAAATACATCAAACCCTACTGTGATGCTTCGAGCTGGTCTTGTTGCAAAGAAAGCTTGTGAATTGGGCTTGGAGGTAGGTATTGGCTTCTTGAAATGCTTTCTGTTCTTTAACTTGAATCCAGTGGAAATGCATGTCTATAAATAATATTAACAAACTAGATAGGGAGAAAAAGGAGCAATTATCTGCACCTTAATCTTACCTGTATATCATTGTGTATGATGAGTGTCTTATATGTGATTATCAACAGATCAAGCCATGGATAAAAACAAGCTTGGCCCCAGGTTCTGGAGTTGTCACAAAATATTTGCAGCAGAGGTACTGATTACATTTTTTGGAAGACATTAGTTAGTTCAAGTTATTTCTTTGGATATCTACGATGTGCATATCAGGTATTGAATTTTGTCTGTGGCTTTGGTGTTTGTAGTGGCCTGCAAAAGTACTTAAACCAGCAGGGCTTTCATATTGTTGGTTATGACTGCACAACATGTATTGAGAATTTTGGGGAACTTGATGAATCAGTTGCTTCTGCAATTTCAGAGAATGGTATCATTCTTGTTTATACGTAGTTGTTCGTTATGTCCCTGAATTTTTTCTCTAATGACTTAGTGCTTTATTCTATAGATATTATTGCAGCTGTTGTGCTTTCTGGAAATCGAAACTTTGAAGGTCGTGTTCATCCACTCACAAGAGCAAACTATCTTGCTTCGCCTCCCTTAGTTGTAGCGTATGCACTTGCTGGTACGGTAGGTAGACAAATTTTAATATGATTTCCTTAAATGGCTTATTACCAGTGTTTTACTTCCTGATGTTGACTAGGATGATCAAGCGGAGCAGGATTTTGTCAAACTATCCAGTTTTTTCCTCCACTACTCTGGTGCTTTTAGTTCTTGTCAATTATGACCATGATTGGTCAACCTCATCTAATAAGTTAACAACGCTGATGTTGGCGCACTTTTTTGCTTATAGTCTGTGAAAGGTTGTGGGTGCTTTTAATTTTTAGTCAATATAGTGATCCTACTCAACCAATCATTTTTCTGAGAGGGTTGAGCTTGTCTCCAATCCACTGTGTGGACTAGGTTGGATACTGTGGGCCCAACTATGGTGATTTGATCTATTAATTTTATAGATCTATGTGAAGATTATTCATGAAAAAATAATCGTGACCACATGATTTCACCATATTTGTCTTTTTAAAAAAAAAAGGGACAACAGGTATGATTTTAATAATAGATTGACTACTTTTTCCAAGACAAACATGATTAAATCACGTGGCTACAATTATTGAATCAATCTTTTTTTTGGATGATTTACACGTAGGGGTCTAGAAGTTCAACAAAAATGTTAACTCCTGTAAAAATCGTGGGCTGATTAGTTTGTGTCAAACATGTCTTGTGATTCTCTCTGGTTCTTGTTGGCATTAATGCTAGTGATACATGGTATTCTTGCAATCTTTTGCCGTCTTCTGTTATCCGTGTTGGTTATCATCAAGGATCACATCAACTCTTTGAAGTTTTGGATTGTTATATACATCTCTACTAAATTGGTTTATAAAATAAAATTATTTAAATATGACTTTAGATGTAATTGATAATATATTAATGTTTTTTTTCTTTATTTTCTTTGCAGATTGGCTTTTGATGACGTTTGGAAGCATTCTTGCAAATGAAGATCAAGTGTTGAATTTTATTTTTTTTTCTGAACTGATACTTAGTTTTAGTTGCAAATCAAGATTGAGTGTTGGTTTTTTTTTTTGTGAACTCCATGTTAGTTTATTTTGGGATTTGCTTTGGTGGTTTTTTTTGTTATACTTAATGGATTATTATTAAATTTGTTTAATGGATATATTTTGATTTATAATATAAATTTTTTAGTGAATTTTTTTTGTGGAGTGGTGTATAATAGCTAATGGATTTTTTACTACATTTAAAAGGCTATTGGGATATGAGCAGGGATATTTGTGAAATAATAATTTAAATTGAAATATAAAATATGAGACAAGTTTAGTGATGAATTTTTTTCGTTATTTGTACTTACTATTATGACAAAGTGATTATTCGTCGCTAATAAATATTTTTTGTGACAAAATTATTACAATTTATATATGAAAGTTTTCATTGATTTTGTTGCTTGGTGACAAAAAATTTCGTCTCATATATATATTTTGGTCACGAAATATATTTTGTCACCCATGTATGACGTTTGGAGACGAAAAATTTCGTCGAATTTACATCTTACTGTGACGAAATTATTTCATTATCAATGATCAATATGTATGACAAATTTATTCGTTAACTAAAGTTATAAATGTGGTACTAAATAATTATTTGGTGACGAAAATGAGAATTTTTAATGATAAAATGTTGTTTTATTGGTGACAAAAAGTTACGTCACTGAAGTAATTTCATTGGTGACGAAATTATTTTTCGTCACGATGCTTTTTAGTGACAAACATTCAATGACGAACTCGGTGACAAAAATATTTCCTCACAAATATCTATAGTGACGAAATTAGCTCTTTGGAGACAAAAAAAATTCGTCATTCAAGGCCAAACTTGTTGCAGTGAACCTTCTTCCTCAATCTATATATATACCCCCCCTTCCCCCCCCTTTTTTGGAGAGGATCAAATTTTGACCCACTTTTTGCTAAGTATTGAGAGTTTTAAGAGAGAAACACCACTTCCCTTCACCAAAACCCTTAGCTCTGAAATTTCAAACCCTTAGCTCTGAAATTTCTAACCCTAGTAGAGACTTTTGATAATCCTAGAGTGCATCTAAGGTTAAAATAAAGCAATCAAACTTGAACCGAAGCTTGAGGGAAGCTTCAAGCAATGAAACTAATGCGTTCTTCGCTCTGTTTTGCATTTTTCTTGCTTTTTCTGCAAAACAGCAGGTCAGTCCACTGATTTTTATTTATTCTAGTAACTTTTGGCCTCTCTTTTCAGTATCTAAGATGTTAGCTTTGCATGGTCATCATGTAACTTCTTGGTTTTGAATGATTTTTGACCAGGTTTTATTTAAGTCATGATAGTTAGTTTCGGTTTTATATTTGCATGCATCAAGTTCGGTTTGTTCATTTTAATATTCTGCATGTTTTATTTATTTATTTGTTAGTTTCTTTTTATGCATTAAATTATGTTGGATCCCTTAAACCAGGCTTATGATGCATATTATGTGTTTAGATAACATGTTTAGGATCATTGTACTTTATTTTAATCATATCATGCATAGTTAGACTCATGGTGGTAGAATCTGATGAGTTTCTCTTCTTTTCATGGCATATTCTTTGTGTTTTTTGTAAAGCTAAAAATTAATCAGTTGGTCATCAGTTGTTCATGTCCTGTTACACTGTCATTTTGCTTAGAGGGTTTGGGCTGCAATGCTAAATTGGTGGAAGGTGTAAGGGTTCTACCAAGTTCTGTTGAATACTACTATGGTGGGAATGAGAAAGGCTCAACAAAAAAGAAAAGATGATATGGAGAGTCATAACTATGGTTGTCTTATGGTCCTTCTGGAAGCTTAGAAATGAACGTGTTTTTCAAGCAGCTATTCTTAAACATAGTTCTAAATCGCGGTATTTGATAATGTAATGGTATCGATCGTGGAGTATCGATATCGGTAGTATCGACCGGTACGTATCGGGAATCGGGTGTCGCGGCCGTGAAATTTTAAAAATCATTAACAATCCCTCTAAAACTCAATTTTATGCATTTTTTGACTCTTTTAGTCTTAATTTGTCACGTTTTAATCAAAATTTGATATGTAGGAACACTTTTAACTATTTTCAACTAAATGAAATGTATTTATTTGAGTCTCATTTTCAACATAGTAAGCTTTTAACAAATGAAGATTTTGATTTCAATATTTATTTTTATTTTCTTTTTTCTCTTGCTCAACTGAGAAAATATATATATATATATATATATTAATATAAACAGTGGCATAGATGTATAAACAACAGAAAAATAGTGGCTTAAAAAGGTGCAGAAATAGTGGCTTAAAAGATGCAGAAGAACAATGGCCTAAAAAGAAATTACGAAATAGAAAAGCATAAGGAAAATAATAATAATAATAATAATATTGATATATGAAACAAAAATAGTAACAGAGTATAGAAGCTTGCAAGTTCAGCCTTCTGATATGTTACTATAGTAACAGAGTATAAGGATGAACCTATAGTAACAGAGTATAAGGAAAACAAAAAAGCTTGCAAGTTGCATATTGGTGTGCTTGCCCAACAACAAAACAGAGCACAATAGCCCAAAGAATGAACTTGCAAAACAGAGCATAAAATTGAGCATAAAACAACACAAATTTCAGGGGGTTTTTCTGCTCTGCCCCAATTTCATATGCAACCGACGATTATTTTTGCTTTTGCTGAAGGTTCTCTGCTCTAGTTTCATCTGTACCGGCCATGGCAAATCCGTATCGGAACTGTATCGCTGCATGTATCGGATTCAGGCCAATACGTACCGGGAATCGGATGTTACGGCTGCAAATTTCAGTCTCACCGGTATATCGGTCTATATCCGTATCGACACTCCAATTTTCCAGTACGAATCGGCCGGTACGATATTTAGAACTATGTTCCTAATCTAATGAACTGTGTGAACTAATTAAGATAAGAATTGCTTTGTGGTTGAATCCAAGCTATAAGGAGTTTCACTTCATAGTGCAACACTTCTTGAGCAATTTGAGGCAAATCAGATGTTGTTTTGGGAGAAGAGGTGTCCACAGTTGATATATTGTTATTGTTGTTATTGATGCTGGTTACATTTTATTTGTATTTTTTTGTCTTGTTTGATCCGATAGATCTTTTGGTGTTGGTTTGGGTTCTTGGGTTGGTGTCTTACCAACTGTGTATGGTACTAGCAGATGAATGGGTAGGCTTCTTGATGCCAACATAGTCGAGATTAGGTTGTTTTGCTATGATACTTTTTGCATTGTCTTATTGCTTGATCATTATCAATAAAGTGATTTTTTGGCTATTTCAAAATATACTTGTTTTTTGTGCATTATTTTCAATAATCCAAGTCTATGTGTTTTTTTCATGCAAAATTGTATAATTCGGGGTGTTTTTATGAGTCTTGCTTAGTTTAGATCTTGTTTATGGCCATTTAATAACTATTTGATGGAAAATATGAGTTTTTTTGATGAAAATATAATTGTATTCATTAGATCTAAATTAAGTGATATTCATGTATTCAATCATCTAGTTTTAGGTTTAGTAATTGTTTTAGGGTTAACAATGAAGTTTGTGAAACATTGAATCATTAAAATCGCAAAATAGAGAGTTAATAGAAGCCAATTTTTGGATTAGGCACAAAGGAGGCCTTTTATTCAATGACCTTTCTATTTTGTACCTTAATTCTCGAACCTTGATTATTTGGTTGTGAAGGATCAGGTCTTGTACTTAATTATCATCGTTTAAAGTTTCTTAATTCTCCTTAAAATTAAGTAGCGACTTTTGAACGCAAGCTGGTATGACATGGGGTGGAAACGCGCCTCATACCCAGAAAAGCATGGCATCCACAAGTGGGGGTTCATTATTTTGGTGGAAGCACATCATAAAAAAATGACAATTGATTCAATCAATTCCACACAAATTCGAGACATTGAGAGAGAGAGTTTTATTTCTTTAATTAATATTCATAATACCAAATAAAGAGACGATGATATTTTTTGTAATGGATACACTATGGTGATGTACATCAGCCCACATACATTTGAGACAAAAAGTGAGATCACCTTGACAAACCCATTACACAAAATAGTTTCTTACCTAACATACAAACCTCATACATTAGTCTATTGGAGCAATAGTCTCTAACTTCCCAATAAAACACATATTCATGTATTAAACTTCTATTTTATGTCCTTGGTTGAGCAAAGCTTCAACTAACAAGTAACCCATCATTTGTCACCCTCTTGCATTTAGAGCTTCACAGTTCTGTTGAAAATCCAGCTGAAAGGAATAACTGGTGCTTGCTTGGCCTTTAGTTGAGCTCTCTCCTCTAGCCTTCTAATTCTTTGACCTAACTCACAAACATAATCTTGAGCCTTTCTTCCCTCACCAGAAAGTCCAGTAAGCTTCTCTACATTCCATTTGTCCACTAAAAACTCCAAAATATCAGCATAGTCTTTGGCGGTGTACACACCGAGCCGCTGGGCAACGGTTGAGAAGTGCAGAAAAAGATTGTCATCTTCACCATCGTACATCCAGTGAGCTGGCATTGATATTTTCTTCTGCATCATCTTGGCAAATGATGTGATAGTTGTGTCGGGATCAATCTCGAATAGCTTCCCAATTGTTTTGGTGTAAGCAGTTTCATGCCGCTTCTCATCAGAGGCAATTGTGCCACATATCTGAGCTAGGTTGTTGTCGCCATAGTGTTTGGCAAGCCTGGCTGTGTTACCATGGGAAATAAAGGTTGCCCTTTCTTGGAATGACGTGTAAATGAACCCTAGGTAGGGATTGTTTTCTGTTTTAAGGTCCTATCCAAACCAACAAAGGGTTAAAAATGGTATTACAAAAAAAAAAAAAAATGAAGAAGTGCATCAAATGTTTGTTTGTCAAGCTATTGTTCGTGGGGTGCCAAAGAAACGACAACGGATACAAGGCATAAGCGCACAATATTGGTGTTTTTTCTTTTTAAATTTTTTTTAAAGACCGAGTGTTTAGGCCAGTTTATGCGCACTTCGATTAATTTTAGAACTCACACAAAGCACTACTTCTTTGTGGATCTAACAAATCTAAGACAGAGCTTACGGGTATTGCTCCAAGGACTTGATAGTACCTAATAAGAGTTGAACCTGAGACCTGCAAAGAGTACACTCCAAACCCTAAGGTCCAACCCTTTGAGATTTATTGGTATTACCTACTTGTCTATATTTCTTCTACTTGTTCAATAAAAGAGGAATTTTTTTTATAATAAATTATTGTCATTTTTTTTCTCATTTTGGTTCATAAATAAAAATAAATAAAAAAATTCTTACTTTAATCCTTTAAAATATTAAATTATTTTTTCCTCAGTTGTTCATTGTACATTTATGACAAAAAAAAAATACCATGTGGCACGGGATGACCTAGGCGCAGACCTGACCCTCTCTCCCAAGGCAATCTACATAAATGGATTAAATTACATTTTTACCCCTAATCTATTTGCATTTTTGTACGTCAGTTCTTAAAAAAAAAAAAATTGTGATACTTTGGTCCCTAAATCCAATATATACATAGTCTAATCAAAAGAGAAACAAAATAGAATAGTTTTTGCCCAATCACAACTTGTCACATTATTGACTAAAATATTGTTCAACAATACTTGAATCTTCAATCACCCTTCATTTTCTTCTTCTCTCCGTTCTTCCAAGCACCTTTCTACACACTCCCAAAACTGACCATTTCTTCTCCCACACTGCACCTTCTATCTTTCAATCAATCACTTGACCTCTTCCTAACTTCCATACTTTGATTCACAACTTCTTTACTCCTCAATGACGCATAGCCATTGTAATTTTTCATTTTCATCTGATATAAAGTTGGTTTTTGAGATTGGATAGGTTTGGGAATAGGTTTTGGAGTATGGATTATGAGATTAGGTTGGGTTTGAATTTAGGAGTTAAAGTGAAAAACTTTAATTTTTAAATTCCAAAATTTCCCGTTAACCATAAGGAGAGTTGGTAATTGGACTAAAGTAGGAAATGACAGATAATTTAGGGATCAAAATAGGATAACTTTTTCTTTAAGGATCAAAGTAAGAAATGACTTATATTGTAGGGGTAAAAATATAATTTATCCTATTCCTAGTGCTCACTCTATCTAAATGGACTAATGGGACTAGGGAATTTTTTAAACTTTCCGAAAAGATGGAACAAAATTAGGAGACTAGGAAACAAAAAAAACTACAAAACGTATAGTTTATGGATTAAATACAACAAAATATACATTTTGAAAATCAAAATGTAACAAAGTGCATATTTTAGTGATCAAAATAAAGTAAAGGAAATATTTTGGTGACCATGTGTATATTTGATCCTTTTGATTCTGTTGTATCCCGTGCAGGAAAGTTTTGATTTTTGTAGTTATAAAAAGAATAAAGATTGGGACCTCTTTTCCCCCACTCCCTTTTGACCCCTTTTCTTTTTTGATTGGTCACTTTTTCTTTTTCTTTTTCTTTTTTTTCTCCTCCTCCAACCACCACCCGCCACGTGTGTGTGGGGGGTGGTGAGGGTTAAAGTTTGAGAGGGTCTAAATCACTGCTATTATAAAAAATATTTGGTATTGCTTCTAGGTATTAATAGTATTTTTCTTCGACAATTTAAAAAAACAAAAAAAACAAAAACAAAAACAACAAAAAAAATAGTGCCGCCACCATATCATTTTTATTGCTTACTCTTATTTATTTTTTGGGGGGACGTAGAAATTGAAAGATTCTAAATTTTAAGAAAAGAAAAAAGAGGTGGATTTCTTTTGGTCCATAATTTACATTGGGGGGCTCTCTTTGAGCACATGGGGCTGATCACATGTCTCGTTTTGATAATTTTATCATGCATTTTGTGTATTTCATCAAAAAAAAAAAAAAGTTAATCTGATAATCGTAATTTATTCAATTTATCGCGTTTGTCATAAAAAAATAAACGACAATCGTATTTTTAAACATAAACCATTCATTTTTTTGATAACAAATGCAAAAAATTGAATATATTACGATTATCGGATTAATTTAAATTTTTTTTTTATGGATAAAATACATGAAGTATTTGACAAAATAAACTATTCGGATTATCGAAACAGGACGATAATGAATAGCCCATTTTGGACCACCTCCAAGAAAAATTACAAAGAAGAAGAAACACTTACCATTCCAGAGCCAATTAGATAATGCAATGTCTTCTCAATTTGTTTCATGTCAACTCGACCAGATAAATAGAGGTATTTGTTGAGAAGATCACCATGGCGATTCTCTTCAGCCGTCCATCCCCTAATCCAAATAGCCCAAGGAGTAAGGCTTGAGCATGTTTCATCTCTAATTCCATCATTTGTGTTAATCCAAGAATGGTATGTTGGAAGAGCTTCTTCTGTGATCATGTCTCCTATCAATACAACTAAGTAATCATCTGGAAGCTCCTTTGCCCTTTCTCTCAATTCCTTCACTTGATCCATGAACCCATCTGATTTTGGATCAGGCAAAAACTGTTGCGGTTGCCAACTTTTCTCTACTGGTTTTAGGTGAACCAACACATTCTCTTTAGCCCAGTCTTCCAAGGATTTGAATATCTCTATCTTCTCTTGTGGCATAGAATGAGTTACTTGAACTCTTGCCTTCTGACCAAGATTTAGCTTCTTCATATTATCAAGCTCCATCCTAAAGTACATGAGAGAGATTTTAGATCAGCAAAACTTGATATATATGAGATTTATCGGATCAATTTTACCTTTTTAATGAATGGAGTGGATCATCAAAGTATGCCGACAAGACTCGCCAGATTGTCCATTCTTCTTTTCCAAATTATAAGGTGAATAAATTTGGATGCCAAATTTTGGACAGTTTTGTTAATGAATGTTTTTGTGCTTTTAGTTGGCAAAACTTAAAATGGTTGTACATACTTTCATAAAAAGAATACACAAACATTGCACCCAAAAAAAAAAATAAAAATTTAAGACATTCATTAACAAAATTCAATGCACTTGGCCCATTTTACGTGGGTATTTGGGAATTTGTTATTTTAGTAGATTTTTTTAGTTTTTCATTATTTTAAGAGCTTAAAATTTTTGTGTTTCGAAAAATAGATGGGTTTTTTTATAGTTGCATGTGATGTTTGTAAGAGAAAAAATGAAATGATTATAGATTTGATGTGATATTTTGTATGAATTTTTTTTTTTTAACCAATTTTGTCGTTTAATGTTTTTTTAGCAAAAAAAAACAACAAAAAAAAAAAACACCCCCTATGTTTGACTAATTTTTTACATTGGCCTTTAAAGTTTTTTTTTTTTTTTTTCCTTTCACTTTGGCTGTTTATGTTATAATTTTTCTCAATTTATTCTAAAAGTTAACTTATGCCTAAAATTAAATAAAAATGACACATTAACAGGTATGTGGCATACAAATATTTATTATATATAACTCACACATTTGACATAAATCTAAATCTTAATATAATAATATATTTTTTATGTCATGTGGAAGCTAACGTTATATTTCCTGTCTAGTTTTGAACAGAAATTAGTTTTAAGAGTAAATTGGAAAATCCTTAAAACATGACAAATGAAAGTGAGGGAAAAAATAAAATAAAATAAAATAAATAAATAAAATAAAATAAAATAAAATTTAAAGGCCAAAATGAGAAAATGACTAAACATAAAAGAAATAAAGTTTAATTTAACTACTTTTAATGTATATAATCTTAGGGTTAAACTCATTTTACCCCTTATAGTTTAGGACTGGAGCACGTTAACGCCTATGGTTCAAATATAGCCAAAAAGCCTCATGTAGCTTTGGACTAAAGTGTCATCATTAGATTTTTCATTCAAACTAACAAAAGGTTTATCGCAGACACTATTTTTTAGAGTGAATTTGATTTTCGGAAAAAATAGTGTAAAATTAACACAACAAAAAGACAATTTTATCCTCATTTTTTCCAAATCTAAAATTAGATTAATATGTTAATTAAAATATTAGTAAGTATTGATCTAAAATATAAAACGTAACTCAGAATTTATTTAAAATATAATTTAATAAAAATAAAAAATTAACAATAATTAATAATTGATTTAAAATTAAATTAAATTAAGATTAGATTAACATTTTAGAAATTTCAATAAATAATTAAAATTTTAAAATTAATTGTTGTACGAGCACGAAATAATTCTTCTCGTATAATCTTGTTGATCAAGTTTGCACTCCTCAAAACGTCATTACTTTACTACCTAAAAATACACACGTAAGCTAGTCGGCGGGTGTGTACCGGAAACTCCTCTAATACTCAAGTCAGCAAGTTGACCAAAGACACAAAAGCTTTGTGTATTCAAGAGTAAGAATTGCAATACTTGAAAATAGGTGCAGTCATTAGCTTTTATAGATTCTGCATGGTACAATCCTAGTAAGACTCCAACTGTCCTTAGCAAAATCCTTATAGAATTCACATTCCTAAGGATAATGCTCATCCACAGAACACCCTCTTCACTAATATCCAAGTGAGATGGCAAACACATTATGCTCAGTTATAAATGTTTGACCGAGCTACCTGGCCTCGGTCCACTGCCAATCAAACCGTGTAACCTCCAACCTTTGGACGGGTTCTGCCAAGCTAAGGGCAGCTTGGCCTCTTCCACTCAACCGATCATCTGCTAGCTAGGTCCAAACCCTCTGTTCCGCTTAAGACAGGGCTATATGAGCCCGTTCTTGGCCCAACCTTGGAGGATGATGTTACCTTCCTCGACCCAATTTGATCACAAAAATTACCCTCTTAATTGCCCCTTAATTCCTTCTGCGGAACATGATTGGGATTACTCACTTTGATCGAGCTAAACTACTTGATCTTGCCAAGTTAAAGAAATTGCTCGGCCGCATAGATTGCTTGGTAGCCGCGGTCTTATCAACCGTACAATATGTTCACCCACTACTCTAGCACGATGTCTTTTCTGGGACACGTGGCTCACCCTTACTGGTCCCGTACTGCTACGACAGCCGTCAAACACTGCTCCAAAATTCGAACGGTCCTTTCTTTTCGCCTTATGCACATATATAGCCTATACGCACACCCCCTCCAATCTGTTGTTCATCTTCTCCAGCGAAATCCCAAGCCAGAGCTCCTGTCCTTTTCATCTTCGTGCGCCAAGCCTTGATTCAACCATTTTCAAGAAGGAATCTACTCTGTTTCAGCTACTGGAGCATCATCCACTGATCAAAACTTAGCACTGCATCCTTTATCTATAAGTTTCTAAATCGTTTTAATGTTTCTATTTCAATATTCAAGTTGTTCTTCGTGTCTTGGTGCTACTAATCCATCGTTTAGTCTTGAAAATAACATTTCTGAGTATTAATCCACTAAAATATATATAAAATGAATGTAGAACTACATTAGGGCCTTTAAATACCCTTCTAGTTTCACGCTTGGAGATGAACTCCAAATGGATGGGATAAAAACCTATCAAAACCAGTGATCTTGATCCAAAATCACGCTCGAACCGAAATAAAACCTGTTTGCACCACCATATGCGAGTTTAACCGAACTAGGAGTATCATCATTCTCATAACTAGGTCAAAACCTTGCCTCCCTTGGTCTAAGCCGGGCTAAAACCTTACCCATCTTCACAGCCAAGCTATGACCACATTGGCGATGGACCTAACTTACTCAACGACCAAGCTAGACTTATTTTGCACACACTTCTCTGACTGAGCAAACAATCCCCTAACTTGGTTTACTCTTGTTTTTGCTCCACCATCACATGAGCATAACACACTTTTATTTTTTCACTTTGCAAACTTGACTAGGTTGCCTAGGCACGCCATTCACTTTGCCATTGGCGGCATTGCTCAACCCAGCCAACCATTGTCCACATCAGTGCTGCCCTAGGTCACCGAGCAAACCCTTGTAACATATTTAATTTTAAGGCTATGGGTAAATACTGATTCATGGTGAGCTCGTCAGGCGCCATAGCCGAGTTCTGGAGAGACTACAACATCCTAGACAATGTACAATTCACACTAGTCGAGCTAGATACCACGCCTTGGGGAAAATCCGGCTTCGTCCTTTTTACAATGCTATCCATCGTAGAGGGTGGATTTCGGTTCCCAATCCAACCCCTCATCTGTGAATTCCTTAGGCAAACCAAACTCTGCTCCACTCAACTATCCACCAACACCTATAGAATAGTAAATGGCATCACCGAGCTCAACCATTGTCTTGGCTTCAACCTCGGATTGGCCAAGATATTCCATTAATACTCGTTTGGCCAAAGTGGCGACGGTTGGGTATATTACCTTAAGGTTAAAAGAGGCTGAGAGAAAATCATTAAAAGAACACCATACAAAGACTTGCATAACGATGATTTTCTCTGGGTTTCTGGAAACTTTGAAGACCAAGAAGCCCCGATACCGGGCTACAACATCAATTAGAAGAAGGACACCACCGGTATCAGTAGCTCGATTGTTTTCTTTTTTGTCACATAACTGCTTCTAGCCGTGCTAATCCTTGAATGCTTTTTGCAGATCTGAAATTGCATAAGGAGAACTACGGTCACTCCGACCAAATTGCCTCCATGTCGCACTACGATATCGGCAAATGAACTGGGCTAAGCTCTTGAATTTTGAACCAGCTTACCAATACAGTGATAAGTGGAAGAGCCAAGTTACAGACTTTTTGCTTAAGCCATCACCTAAGCCAGACCCCAGTCTTCCCCAAATTAACCTCGTCCCCCTCACTGAGGAACAAGAGATGGCAAAAAAAAAGGGCAATATGCGCTTTAATCACTAAATAAGCCTCTGCTTCCACTACCGAGGTCCAGGCCGAGCAGCCTCTAACCGGTCAATCACTTGAGACCGTTGTCACCCTCTTAACCACGAGGGCATCCTCATCTCGGCCCAGCAAGCATGCTCGCACTTCGTCCGCCGAGCAATAACAGCCGGTAGACGAGGAAAAGACCACGCTATCTAATGCCGAGCTACCCGAATCTCAATCAATCTAGGAGAGCTACCGTTCTAGCCATGCTAGCCCTTCTTTCCCCTGGTGTGGGCACTAGTCATAACCTTCAAAGGCCGCGTTGTGACCACCACCGACTCCATGAGCGACGAGAAGGATTATAGTCTTCACTTTGTATTTCTACTCCCTCAATCGTGCAACTTTTTGCTTCGTTTAGCTAATTGTTGTTTAACCAAATTGCAAGCCGTGCAGAAGAGCCACGTTGCCCACCGATGTGTACTTGAGCTAAGGAAAATAGCTTGGGCTACTATCGTTGACGGTTAGACCAAAGACGCTGAGTTAAAGGCACTCAAGACAACTTTGGCTGAACTGAGCGCAGAGAAGGAAAAACTGGTTGAGCAGGTTAGTGCAGCAAAGGATGACAAGCAAAAGGCCCTCGCAAAGAATAAATATCATTACCTGCACGAGCTGGCCAAACTTGAGAAGAAAAAGGACACCAAAATAATAGCGCTTCATAAAAAGATGAAGGACGATGAGGACCGGGGTTTCAAGGAGTGAGAGGAGACCTATGTCCAGCAATATGAAGCGGCCAAGGATATCTTTTTCAAGTGCTGACTTTGGAGAAGCTCGTCCAAGCACAAGATTCTGAGATCTTTCTCAATCCACCTCCCTATTTCATCTCCAGTTACATGGCGGCTTACACTAGTGTTGTGCAACAAAAATT